GAAGGAGGAGGAGGAGGAGGGAGGAGGAGGAGGAGGAGGAGGAGGAGGAGGAGGACGAGGAGGGGAGGAGGAGGAGGAGGAGGAGGTAGAGGAGGAGGAGGAGGAGGAGGAGGTAGGAGGAGGAGGAGGAGGAGGAGGAGGAGGAGGCGGAGGAGGAGGAGGAGGGAGGAGGAGGAGGAGGAGGAGCGAGGAGGAGAGGAGGCGGAGAGGAGGAGACGGAAGAGAGAGGATCCCCGCAGGTCGCTGCGACGATCGCCGACAGCTGCGCCAGCCCCTCCTGCTGCAGCAGCCTCGTCGGCGGCAGCCAACTGAGCTTCGTGCTGCAGCCGCAGTGGCCGCCGCCAGCGCAGCCGGCCGAGCAGCCGCCCTGGTCTTCGCCTCCGCCTCAGCCTCGGCGGCGCGCGGAAGCGGTTGGCGCGTGGGGGTGTGGGTCAGAGGAGGAAAGTGTACCCGTACCGCTACCCGCTACCATTCCCTCGGTTTCCCCTTGTTGGGCCTCCTGGGAGGCCCGTCGCCACTGCTGGATTCGCATCGAAAGGGAGAGGTCCAGGGAATTGCGGGATCGGCGCCTTTGATTCCCCCAGTGGGGGGGTGGTCTTCTAAGAGAGCAGGGGGGGGGCTCCTCAGGAGCTCCCCTGCCGTCCAAGAAGCCCTCTTGGAAGCCACCGAGCCCTTCCAAGAAGCCCCCCCTGCGCTCTGAGACGGCCGCCCCACCCCCGACACGGCTCCGCTCGCATCGGGTCCCCAGGCCCCCTTGGGGGTCCATCCTGGCTATTTAGCCGTGGCCACGAGGCGCCTCCAGAGGACCGGGGAAGGGTCCGAAAGTTCTTAGAACCCCCCCCCCGCCGCCGTCGCCTCACCCCCTCGCCTCCCCGCCTCCTTGCGCGCGGCCAGCAGCCGCTGCAGCTGCAGCCGCAGTCCGCGCTGCAGCTGTCACGGCCCTGGCGGCAGGACCAAGAGCCGCTCTGCTGTCAGAAGCAGCGCCCACTGGTCACGCTCTGTGCAGAGGTTTGCTGGTGGGAACACGCCGCCCTCGTCACCCCTTCGATCCAACGACCCCCTGCTCCGCTTTCCTGCGGTGGGTTTCGCGCCCCTTGACGCGGCGGCGGCCCTAAACCGGTCATACGAGGTTGCACGCCGCCAGTGGCCCAGAATTGGCCGGTATCGAGTGATCTGCGATACCGTAAAGCCGCGATCATTCAATTTGGAGCGATCCACGCGGTGTCAGAAACCAACGCCACTTGCGGCGATCCAGGCGGTGTCAGAAACCAACGCCGACGTTATCGCGACGCGAACCTGCCGTAGGACTTCGCTAACCCCTTGCAACCACTGGCAACGCCGCCATCACCACACCAACCTTCGCTGCACGCCACCTATCAACTATGCTCAGCCAAGGAGGGCGTATATGATCCGGGGTCGAGGGTTCATATGCCCCCCCTGGGATGGGTCCCAGGGTTCCACAGGCCACCCCCCCCCGCCCACCCCCCAAAGGGATGGTGGGCGGGGACGCCGACGCCGACGCTGACGCCGATGCCGACGACGCCGACGCCGACGCCGACGCCGACGCCGACGCCGCCGCCGACGCTGACGCTGACGCCGACGCCGACGCCGACGCCGACGGATGACGCCGACGACGCACGACGGATGGCGGACGACCGACGACGACGCCGACGGATGACGCCGATGCCGTCGCCGACGACGGCGACGACGACGCTGACACCGACCCCGACGCCGACGCCGACGACGCCGACGCCGACGACGCATGATGGACGGCGGACGACCGACGGCGACGACGACGACGCCGACGGATGACGCCGACGGCGACGACGATGACGACGACCACGACGGCGACGACGACGACGACGACGACGAAACACCCCACACCCTCAGAGGGGAGAGGTGGGGGGTGCACCAGCACCTTCCACCACGCCACGCCCAGAGGGCAACGACCACAGGGAGGGAGGAGCGACCCCATTCGCGAGGCCTTTGCGAGGCTCACGGGCGTACCCATTCAGCGGGGGGGGAGGGGGGGTCTCGATCCCAATATGCATTGGGGAGGGGGCAAACTAGGTGCGCTCGCGTCATATCTAACGTCCTACCCCTCCCCTCCATTCCTTACCGTGGCGTAGACCTCCTCTCTACTCGCAGAGTCGGATGTCTTAGCATGGCATAGCATTACATGGCATAGCAGGGGTTTGAAGATCAACGCGTAGCATGACATAGCATGGCGTGGCGACGCCACCAAAGGGGGGGTCTGTGGCCTCAGAACTCAACGAATCGACACCGAATGTGTAATCACTTCTGATGGTTTTGTCGGGGGGGCATCTTCTGTATTTTGGGCCCTATGTGTAAGGACCGGAAAAGAGGCCGTGGCATGGCACTGGAAATAATGTCGCCAGCGCTATAGCGGGAGCACGATTCGGAACAAGCGGAAGCGCGGAATTGAGGCCAGCGCTTCAGAGGGAGCACGATTCGGAACGATCGGAAGCACGGAAATGAGACCAGCGCTTCCGTTGTCGAGGGAGAGGGCTATATACCGATCTTGGCCCCTGGACGTCCATGACCAGGAGCAGTACAGGTTCATACTTGACTCCCTCCTGAATGACGTACCGTCAGGGCCGCTGCCGTTGCCCTCCTACGGGCTCTTAGACTTCCCCCGTCTGCACTTCGCGAGCTACGTTACCTCGCCATCATCATCACCACCACCACCATCATCATCATCATCATCACCACAACCATCATCATCATCATCATCATCATCATCATCATCATCATCATCATCATCATCATCATCATCATCATCATCATCATCAGTATTACCATAATCAGCAGCCACATCATCATCACCTCGCCATCATCTCATCATCATCATCAACATCACCATCATCACCGCCATCATCAGCATCAGCATCAGCATCAGCATCATCGTCATCCTCATCATCATCAGCAGCATCATCATAATCACCATCATCATCATCAGCATCATCATCATTGTTATCAACGTCATCATCGTCATGATCATCACCACCATCATCATCATCCTCATCAGCATCAGCATCCTCATCATCGTCATCATCATCACCATCACCATCATTATCATACCCATCAACACCACCATCATGAGGATCATCATCATCAGTATTCTCATCACCATCAGCATCATCACCATCAGCAGCATCATCATTATCATCTCATCATCATTTTCATCATCATCGACATTACCATCATCACCGCCATCATCAGCATCAGCATCAGCATAACAACAGCATCAGTATCATCGTCATCCTCTCCATCATCATCAGATCACCATCATCATCATTATCATCATCGTCATCATCGTCATCATCATCATCATCACCATCACCATCAGCATCAGCATCATCCTCATCATCATCCTCATTATCGTCATCATCACCATCATCATCACCATCATCATCACCATCATCATCATAACCATCATTATCATACTTATCATCACCACCACCACCAATCATCATCACCATCACCACCATCACCATCATCATCATCATCATCATCATCATCATCATCATCATCATCATCATCATCATCATCATCATCAGCATCATCATCATCATCATCATTGTCAACTGCGCGCTCTCTCTCTTTTTCTCCCTCCCTTTCTTTCTTCCTCTCTGCTTCTCTCCCTTTTGTGCCTGCCAGGTCCTCGACGACGCCACGGCTGCGGCTTACGCCTCCTCTGCTCGCTGCTGGTCGCGTGTCGCCCGCCTCCTATGCGATGCCAGTCGTTCTTGCCTTCCCTCCTGTCCCCCCCTCTGCTCTTCGCCCTCTCCTTCTTCTGCTTCTTCTTCTTCTCCTTCCTCCCCGCCCCTTTTCCCAATACTCTCCCTCCCCTCCCTCCTCCATTCCCCGCCTCTGCACCTCATTGGTTCCTCTCCCCCTCCCCCACCCATCCCTCACGCTGCGCTACCCCCCACACGACCGCAGTCATACGGCTGGAGACCAGAAGCCGGGGAACACCGGACAGTATCCAGCGGCCACCGCTGATCCTCCTTTGCGTTCGATGTTAGTGCAAGAGGGGTACGATGAGGATGTGGAGGGATGGGTTGGAAGGACGAATGGGGGGATGAGGAGGAGGAGGAGAAGGAGAAGGAGGAGGAGGAGGATGGCCAGGAGGAGAAGGAGGAGGAGAAGGAGGAGGAGGAGGTGGAGGAGGAGAGATGAGTGAGGATTAGTGAATCGAGGGAGGGCAGTGGTGACGAGGGGGGGGACGGGGGAGCGTCCCGAGCAGGAGGGAGGCAGGCGGGGCAGGCAGGCCACCAAAGGAAAGTGCGCGGTGCACAACTCCCACACTCGCCACCCCAGCGTCAACCATCATGCGGCATCCCCGGCCAGCGGGAGCGGAGGACCTCACAATCCTCACAGTCCTCCCGCTCACGAAGGCCGGCAAGCGCGACCGCACGCCGACCCGACGGGGGCGTGCGCGAACCTCACCACCCCCGGGCCGTCGCGGACTGCACCGCCTGCTCCGGGCTCAGTAGGCGCAGGGCACCGCAGACGTGGCCGCCGAAGTCCGCGCCGGCCTCCTGCGCTCTCCCGCTCCCAGGCCTCTTCGCCCTCCTGCGCCGGGCTGCACGCCTCGACCCTCGTGGCGTGCGCGGGCGGGCCGCCGTCGAGCACCGCGAGCTCCAGGACCGCCCTCCCCCGCAGGATCCGCGGCGGAGCCGACGGGCGCCTCGGGCAGCCTGCCTGGCATCGCTCGGGCGTGTGCATTTTTTTCTCGGCGAGGACCCTCGAGGAGCATCCTTGATCATTTGGCGGAAAAGCCGCGCACGAAACCGAAAGAAGCACAACACATGGACGTCCGAGCGATGGCGAGCGGGGCCCCGCCTGCTCCGTGCCCGGCTGGACGTCGAGCCCGGGCGTCGACCCGGCCCGGGATTCCCTCGGCGACGAGCGGGGCGCTGGGCAGGGCGTCGGGCAGGCAGCCGCGGGCCGCGGTGCGGCCCCCGCGCACCCGCGCCTGACGGCGCCTCGCCCGCTGCCGCCCCGTGCCCACCTCGAGCTCTCCGCTGCCGGCCTTCGCGTGCGCCATCCTGCCGACGAGCACTGGGTCGCCGAGTCCGCGCGCGAGCTCCAGGCCGCCGTCCACCACGTCGCCGTCCTTGGCGTCAACCTTCCTGCCCCGCGTCGCCGAGCCCACACGCGAGCTCCAGGCCGCTGCCCTCCGCGCCGACCGCAGCGTCGGCTCACCGCGGCGCGGTGGCTGCTGTCCAGACCACTTGGGGACCAGGTTGGCCGGCCCGGGGCGGAGGGCCCCTTCTGGACTCGAACGGGACCACGCGCTATCCCGTGAGCCCTGCCCTCCGCCCAGCGGCGCGTCGTCCTTCGCGCTCGCGTTCGCGCACTCGTTCACGACCATCTCGTCCAGGAAGCCAGTGAGCACGAAGTCACGCTCCCAGATCTCCTGGATGCCATCGGCCACGGCGCAGCCCTCGGACATGCACGGTCAGGTCACGTGCACCTGCCTCGATGAGCTCGTCATCCGACGAGTCGCCAATGAAGAAACACGCCACGGCCTCATTGCTCCCGTCCAGCTCCTTCTTGCCCGCGGGCCGCACCAGCGACACGAGGAACTCGCCGTTGATGAGCCCCACCTCCGCCTCGCTGCAGCCCACGACCTCGGCCCCTCCTTGCGCCACGCGTCGCTGCGGCCAGCCTGCCTCCCGTAATTACCCTTCGTGGCGACCGCACGCGCCAGCGCATGCGGAGTCGCCTGCAGCGGCTGCGCAGGCGCTACTGGGCGCCCTGGCGGCCACGCGTTGGGGGCGCGCCGACGGCACCCCCCTCGTGGCTCACGCGCACGCCTGCTGCCTCGAATCCGACTAAGTAGGCGTAGCGCTCAGCAATCTCTGTGTGCAAAAGGGCTGTTGTGATGATGACAATGACCAGGAAGAGTGGTAATGGTGAGGGTCATGGCGATGCTGCATCTGTTGCTTCTGCTGCTGCTGCTGCTGATGATGTTGATTAACATGATGCTGATGATGATGATGATGATGGTGATGATATCGATGATGATGATGATGGTGATGATAATGGTGATGTTGATGATGCTGATCATGATGGCGCGGATGTTGATGATGATGGTGATGATGATGAGGATGCTGACGAGGATGCTGATGATAACGATGATGAGGATGACGATGAGGATGATACTTATGACGATGATGCTGCTAATGATGCTTATGATGCTGCTGCTTATGATGATGTTTATGCTGGAGGTGGTGATTATGCTGATGCTGACGTTGATGATGATGATGATGATGATGATGATGATGATGATGATGATGATGATGATGATGATGATGAGGCGGCTGATGATGATGATGCTGGATGACGATGATGATGCTGATGATGATGCTGCTGTTGATGTTTATGCTTCTCGTGGTGATGATGCTGTGATGGCGATGATGATGCTGATGATGCTGATGATGATGTGGCTGATGATGATGCTGATGCTGATGATGATGCTGGGATGGTGATGGTGATGACGATGATGCTGATGTTTATGATGATTCTGATTCTGATGATGATGCTGATGATTATGCTGATGATGACGATGATGGTGATGATAATGGTCATGATGATGAACACGGCGATGCTGCTGATGATGATGATTCTGACGATGCTGATGATGCTGATGATGATTATGATGCTGATGTTGATACTGCTGATGATGCTAATGGCGATGATGCTGATTCAGATGATGATGATGCTGATGCTGATGATGGTGATGATGATGACGATGCTGATGATGATGATGCTGATGTTGATGGTGATGCTGCTGCTGCTGATGATGATAATGATGACACTGATTATGATGATGATGCTGATGATGATGCTGATGCTTGTTCTGATGCTGATATTGTTGCTGCTGATTCGGATAAGGATAATTCTAGTGATGATGCTGCTGCTGATGATGAGGATGGGGAGGATGAGGATGATGATGATGATGATGAGGATGAAGATGAGGATGCTGCTGCTGCCGACGACGACGACGTTGATGATGATGATGCTGATACTGATGATGATGATGATGATGATGATGATGATGATGATGATGATGCTGATGCTGATGATGATGATGATGATGGTGCTGATGATACTGGCTAGTGATGATGATGATAATGAAAATGAGAATACTAATATTAATAACACTAATCGTTATAGTAAAAGTAGTACTAATGGTAGTGGTACTGGTGATGATAATGTGATGATGATGGTACTGATGATACTGATGATACTGATGAGACTGGTGACTATTACGATGATGAGGTTGCTTCTGAGGATGATGATGGTGATTCTGCTGCTGCTGATGATGTTGTTGGTGGTGTGATGATGATGATGATGATGCTGATGCTGATGATGATGATGATGATGATGATGATGATGATGGTGGTGATGATGATGATGATGATGATGATGATGATGATGATGATGATGCTGGTGATGGGGACGCGGGGGAGGCGGGAGATGAGGGGGTGAACATGAGGATGATGAGCAGGCGTAGGCGGAGGCGGAGGCGGAGGTGGAGGCGGAGGCCGAGGCGGAGGCGGAGGCGGAGGCCGAGGCGGAGGTGGCGGAGGAGGAGGAGAAGGAGGAGGAGGAGGAGGAGGAGGAAGAACAAAATACGGGAGTTGATGAGGATATCGAATAGAAGGATGATGATCAGAACCATGAGGCCTGTGGAAACCTGGAGCCCATCCCCCCGTGGGATGGGCTCTAGGTTTCCACAGGTCCCCCCCAGATGGGATCGGGGGGGGGGGACGACGCCGACGCCCACGCCGACGCCGACGCATACGCCGACGCCGACGCCGGCGGCAACGTCGACGCCGACGCCGCCGCCGACGACGACGCCGCCGCCGCCGACGACGCTGGCGCCGTCGCCTACGAGAACGCCGACGCCGCCTCCGACGCAGACGCCGACGACGACGCCGACGCCGCCGCCGACGACGGACGACGACGACGACGACGACGACGACGACGAACCACCCCACACAGGGGGAGGGCGGGGGGTGCACCGGCCCCCTCCACCACGCTACGCCCACAGGGCCACGCCCACAGTGGTGGGGGGGAACGGTCCCATTCGTGAGGTCTTCGCGAGGCTCAAAGGCCTACCCACTCAGCCGGAGGGGAAAACTCGATCCCATCTGCGTTGGTGATGGGGGGGCAGCCCTGGATCATGTATAGTCATGTATATAGGAGTAGAAGTGATGAGGACCAGGAGGGGAAGGAATCATGATGAGACGCAGGACGGGGAGGGAGGATAAGGAGAGACACTATGAGGGTAGTGATGGTAAGACAGAGGAATCGGAATGAAGTGCATGAGGACGATTATGAAGAGGAGGAGCAGGTGGTCGTGGTCACAGAATACGGGAAACAAGTCCCAAGCATAGCAATATGCAACACGACACAGACCACGACGATGCCGACGACGGAGACGAGGCGCGCATCCTATTCACACCAGTGCACGGATCTCGTAAAATGCCCACCCTGCGAGGTCTGGTCAGCACATCGTTGAGTGGTGCTGCGGCCTTCCCCCGAGCACAGCCCCCTGCCGCCCGAAGCAGCAGCCACACACTTCAGGTGTTCACCGTTATGCTCTGCTGAGTCTGGGGTTAAGTCGGGCATGTCCCTCTACGATGTTTCGATTATTTAGGACTAATTTGGAATCTTTTTGGCCAATGTGTTATTTTCTTCCAAAATCCACCTGTAGGAGGACATGCCCGACCTGAGCTGAGACGCTTTAAGCGCCGCAGCTCCGAGAGCTGGGAAGACAGGCGGACGGGCAGACGCACAGCCCGGCGGCGTGCAGTGCTTGTCACGCCAAACAGGGGTGGTCACTGCACAAGGGCAGGGGAGGCGAGCGAGGCGGAGGATGAAGAAAAGGACACATAGGATGATTGGAATGATAACCAGGCGTAGGAATTGGAATGGTGAGCGGATGATGATGATGATGATGATGATGATGATGATGATGATGATGATGATGATGATGATGATGATGATGATGATGATGATGATGATGATGTTGATGATGATGATGATGATCATGCTGATGATGCTGATGATGATGCTGATGATAATGATGATGCTGATGATGATGATGTTGTTGTTGATGATGGTGATGATGATGATGCGCAGGATACTACATACACCATTCTGTTTCGAGCGACCCCGATCAATGAGTTTCAGTACAAGACTCTGTATGTTCCGAATGCACGTTGTTGATTCATGCTCTGGATTTGTGATTTTGGTGTCTGCTCTTGATGCCTGTGTCTGTCCGTCATGTATACTGTTTGGGCATGTTCGTGATGTGTGTGTGTGTGCGTGCATGCCGTTGCTATAGATGTACCTTCTTGGTGTTTGTTATTGGTCTATTTTTGATGATGTCAGTTCTTGATGCTTGTTCTTTCTGCGTTCTTTTCTGAATACTATAGACGTGTGTCCTTGATGCACGCGGTTTGGCATTTGTGCTTGTCAGGTATCATTTTGGTCGTTGTTATTATTTTTGCTGTTGTTTCCATGTTGATGGTTTCCCTTTTTTTCTGTGGATGCTGGATTTTGATTGATGATGTTTGTTGGAATGTATTTCCAGTATTTGTGTATCTGTTGATTGGTTCTTATTTCTTGTCTATGTATTTTTCGTGTTTTCGTTGCTGCTGGTTTGGAATGTGTGTTGTTGATGTCTGTACTTGATGCATTTGTGTGATGTCTGTTCTTTGTGTGTGATCATCATGCAACATCTGATGGTAGGTTCTTGATGCATGTTGGAACAAGTTCCTCGATGCAGATTTTTGATACCTGTTATTGGGGTTGTGTTTGACGATCTGCATTTTTCGGGTGTGTATGTTGTGATTGCTTTTGGCGTACAATTGGCTGTTGTTCTAGAGGCTTGCCCTCGATGCACGGTCTTGACGCATGTTCTTGTTGATGTACGTTCTTGATGACTATGTTTGGTGTATGATCGGGGTGTCAGTTCTTGGTGCCTGTTCGTGATGCCCGCCCATCATGTGTCGCGCTTCAGTTCGCTTTTAGTTGAGTATTATCCTCGTTATCTGGCCGCTGCATGTTCCGTTTGGCCTTACAGTTCCTCTGACACACCCATCGCTTGCATGGTGCAGTGCGCGACACTTTGTACGCTGCGCTATCGACACTGCTCGGTCGCAATTCGCACTTCCGTCTGCTGTACGCGCTTGAGGATCCTCTGCGCAGATGACTTAAAAGTGTGTGCTTGATGTCTTCCCTGCCTCTCACCGCCTGGACGCCGGCCCTTGCCTGCTCTGTCCGACCGGCGTCGGGTCCTCTTTGGTAGCTCCACTCCGCAGCATCTGGCAGCATTGAGACCACCGCGCGCGTCACGCCCGCCTGGGAATCGCACCTCTTTCGTGCTGTACGTGCGGTGATCGAGTCTCTCGGCGCTCGCAGAACCTGGTCAGTGCAACACCTTACTTTCGGTTTCTTGATAAGAGTCGGGGGGTGCCCTCCCGACGGGGGTCAACCTCGTTTCGTCGTCGCGCCGCGACGGGGTCCGGAGCGCCTTCGGCGCGCGGTGGCTGCCCGCGACGGGGGTCGATGTGGGGCTGTCGGCAGGGTGACGCCCCCCGACGTTTATTAAGAAATTCGGAGTAATCCCGCCACTTGGCGTCGCATGCGGGCCTTGCTCCGAGCCTGCTCGGATCGCCACGTGGCTTGGCACCGTTGCGCGGCCCTCTTGTTGGACGCACCTGGGCGCGTGTTTCTTCCTGTACTACGCCAGAGCCTGGGCCGCAGCACTCGAGCAGCGGCGAAGCGTCCTGGCTCTCCTGTAGGCCCTTCGAAGCATGTTCAAAGAGCCCTTTGTGGTTTGCACGACATGTTCTAGGACATTTCTGGCTGAGACTGTCTTGTGTAAATACATCGGGCTTCTGTCTTAGGAGCATTGTTGTTGGTTTTAGAACGGCTGTGGGTTCCAAGAACATTCCGTGGTAGGCCTATGCGAATGCTGGGACGGTCGGTCCCTGTTCGAAGCACGCCACTACACGTTCACATGGTCTGATGGGTCAGCCTTCTCTTTTCTCTCAGAGGCCGCCGTTCGCTTTCTTCTCACCCCTCTGTGCCCGACCACGCTCTGCAGTAACCTTGCTTTGCCCGACCAGCTCGGGCGACCGCCGAATCTGCGACAAAGACATCGATTTTTGTATGCTTGTTCGTGATGCCTGTTCCTGATGTCTGTTCCGCATGTGTACTGTTGGCGTATGTTCTCGATGTTAAATTTGGGGACAGGTCGTTCATGTGCGTGTGTGTGTGTGTGTGTGTGTGTGTGTGTGTTTGTGGCTTTTGTGTAGTTGCGACTGGTTTGCTCTGAATGTTCGTTTAACATACCTGTTACGCACATACGATCTTGATGCCTATTAATGATGTGTGCTCTGGGTGTCTGTTCTTGGTTTCTTCTCTTGAGGCCTGCTCTTCATGTAGACTGTTGGTGCCGTTGCTTGATGACGGTGCTGGATGTAGGTTCGTGATTTATTCCCCAATCAGTGCTTGCACTGAAGGCGTCCTAGCCGAGGTTGAAAGATTTAGCAAAAGTTCCTGGCCGATTTAGGTAGGCGGCCGGGTTTCCGGGTTCCGAGGGTCCTGGTTCTGGGTTCCCTGGTTCCCGGGTTCCCTGTTGCTGGTGTCGCGATCCCGCAAAGGGGTGTGTGTGCCTCGGGGTGTGTGAGTTCGATCGGCTTTTGCACCGAACCGCCTAAAACAGATGCCCCCCAGCCGCCGGCAGTTCCCGATAGGTGGAGCATGTGGGGGGCATCTGTTTGCCGCGGTTCGGTGCACCAGCGGATCGAATTCATGCCCCCCTTCGGGACGCCCCCCTTTGGTGGATCCCGGTGATCCCGGGCCGATTTCGGTGGGCGGCGGGGTTCCCCGGTTTCCGGGTTCCCAGGTTCCCGGTCGATCTCCTTATCGTTTTTTCATCGATCCCACGATCGAATTCATTATCGATCTTCTGATCGATCTCCTTATCCATCTGATTAAATCGTTTTCACAATCGATCTCATTTTCGATCTTGCTATCGATCTTACTATCGATATTACTGTCGAACTCACCATGGATCTCACTCACTCGACTTCGCTATCGGTCCTTTTATCGATCTCACTATCGACCTCCATCGACCTCAACATCGATCTCACTATCGATCGCACTATCGATCTCCCTATCGATAGTGCGATCGATAAGGAATGCGATCGTTCGATCGCGCGAATGTCCAGATGCTTTGCGGCAACAACCACCGTCGCGCCAGCAGAGCCATCCGGGTGCCGGCTGGTCGCATGGTGACGACGATGACAACGAAGACCCAATGTCGACGGTGAAGATGATCAGGATAATGAGAACGATCATATTTTGACGATTCGAATGGGGTTGACGATGAGTATGATCATAGTGATGTTGATGCATGGTGATGCTGATGACAATGATCATTGGCAAGAGGAGGCACACGAAAAATGCCGTCGCATCCGGCACCTCTCGGCCTCACTTCTGGGAGCTTCTTCGGGCCGTCCTGGGGTGGTCCTGGGCGCTCGTGGAGCCGTCTCGGGACTCCAAAGGGCCGTCTCGGGGCCCTCTCCGCCGTCTCGGGGCCCCCTTCGCCCCTCTCGACCCGCCTCGCCCGTCCTGCCTGCCGCGGCTGTCAAGCCCCACTGACACAGAAGCTCCCCGGTTGCCCCGCCTCGCCTGCCCTGCACACCGCGGCCGACGGGCCCCACTGGATCTGGGTGATCCCTGGGTGTCCCGCCGCGCCCGCCCTGCCAGCAGGAGGAGGAGGAGGAGGAGGAAGAGGAGGAGGAGGAGGAGGAGGCGGAGGGGAGGAGGCGGAGGAGGAGGAGGAGGCGGAGGAGGAATAATAATAATACTACTACTACTACTACTACTACTAATAATAAGAGTAGTAATAATAATAAGAACAATGATAATAATAATAATCATAATATTAATAATAATAATACGAATAATATTAATAATACTACTACTAATAATCATAATAATAAGAAGACGAAGAAGACGAATACTAATAATAATATTGATTTTATTAAGAAGAATATGCATACTACTACGAATAAGCCGAAGAAGCAGAAAACGAATACTACTACTACTAATAATAATAATATTCATAATAATATTATTATTATTACTAATAATAACAATAATGATAAGAATGCAACTAATAATAATACAAATAAGAATAATACTATTAATAATAATACTAAGAAGAATAAGAAGACTAATCATAATAATAATAATCAGAAGAGGAGGAGGAGGAGGAGAGGGATAACATGTTGAGGAATGGGTGGGACGTCGGAGGAGGGTGGACAGGAAAGACTGTGTGGATAAACAGGATGGGGACACGACTGTGCATGGTCAGGACATGGCGGTTGTTGGCGCGCAAAAGCGGGGCAGGACCAGGGGGGACGATCTCCTAAGAATGCACCTTGACTTCTGAGGAAGGATTCGAAGGTGCCCTTCGGGAAGTCAGGAAGGGCCGATCCCTTCAAAGATGCCTCCCTGCCTTTTTACAATGCCACCCCCTCGCCCCACCCCGCTGTGCGCGCCGCCAAGGCGGAGTGGAGGAGGAGATGGCGTCAAAGAGGGGGGAGGAGGAGGGGGATAATTGAGAGGACGATGATGCAATGATGAGGCGGATCTGATGAGAGTGAGGAGGAGTGGAAGGAGGGTGATGCAGGTGAAAGGGAAGGGTGCGGCAGTACGAGGAGGAGGAGGAGGAGGAATGTAGGATGAGGAGGAGGATGAGGAGGAAAAGGAGGAGGAGGAGGAGGAGCAGCGGGAGGGTAAGGGGGATGCATCGGAGGTCGGAGGCGAGGGGTAGGGCCGTCAGCGGGAGCCAAGCCGGCAGTTCCAGTTGGTCGTGGGGAGGTGCCCTCTCTTGCGCCGCCCCGAGCTCGCAGGTATGGGCGTGCCAGTACTGCACGCAGCAGTTCCTGACGGGAGGGGGCCTGAGCAGTGGGGTGGCAGCACGAGCGAGCGAGCGGGAGGAGGGATTAGCCTTGAGGAGCAGGACGAAATTCTGGCCATGCTGATAATTTTGATGGCGATGACGATGACGATGAGGATGGTGATGGCAAGGTTGATCATGTCGGGGCGAGGAGGAGGGCGATCCGTTACTCCCCGCTCCGATCCACCTGCTCGTTCTGCTCCTCCATGTCACCATGTCTTCGCCCCCTGGGAGTTGTCACGCTCGTCGAAGGGGAAGCCGTGAGCTGGTCATGGCACCAGGCTTCCGAGCTTCACGCTCATTTTGACCCCTTCAGGGTCCCCTTGAAGCGCTGTGCCGAGGCATGGGAAAGATGAGTATGAGGATCACTATGCTTATCGTGGCGATGTGTATTGTGATCTTGCTGCTGTTGACGACGACGATGCTGATGGCTGATGATGGTGATCATCACTGCGATGGCCATGGTGGTGCGGATGAGGTTGACGACGATTGTTATGTTGGTGACGGTTGTGGTGATGATGTTGGCGTTGTTGAAGCTGATGAGGTTGAGGAGGCGGCTGCGGAGATTATAGTTGTACACACATACCGAAGACGCCTACGGCGAAACACTGCCGCCCCCTGCCCCTTTGGAAGCGCCTATGTGGCCGACAGCTGGGCTAGAGCTTGGCCATGCTATCGGGCCAGTTGTTCCCTGAGTCGGTTTGGAAAGCATTCGGGGAACGCGTGGGGGAGCAATAGGAGGATCAAGAGAGGGATGATGATGATGATGATGATGATGATGATGATGATGATGATGATGATGATGATGATGATGATGATGATGATGATGCTGATGCTGATGCTGATGATGCTGATGCTGATGCTGATGCTGCTGCTGCTGCTGCTGATGATGATGATGATGATGATGATGATGATGATGATGATGATGATGATGATTAGGAGGAGGATGAGGATGAGGATGAGGGTGAGGATGAATCTGATTGGGAGGGAGGACGAGTAGTAGGAGGAGGAGGAGACTTCTTGGGAACCGTCTTGAGAGGCCTCTTGGGAGGCCTCTGCGGAGCTTCGAGGAGCCTTTTGGAGGGCTTTTGGGAGCCTCCCTGGGCCTCTTGGGGGCTTCTTGGGGGCCTTTAGGGGCTTCTTGGGGGCCTTTTTGGCCGTCTTAGGGCGTTCCCGACCCGTCTGACACCGTCGGAAGCCGCCTCTCTGAATCGACTTGGGGCTCTCTTGGGCGCTTCAGGGCCGTCTTGGAGAGTATCTTGGGCGTCTTGAAGGTCGCCGTCTTGGGGGTCTCTTGGGCCGTCATGCGGCCATCTTGGAGGCCTCTTGGGCGATCTTGGGGGCCTCTTGGGCCGTCTGCCCAAATCCTTTAAACAGCGTAGCAAAATCAATGATTTCGATCTCTTCGGGTCCTCCTGGAGGACCTCTTGGAGGCCTCGTGAGCCGTCTTGGTGGCCTCTTGGGGGCCTCTTGGGCCGTCTTGGGCCATCTTGAGGCCATCTTAGGCTGTCTTGGGTGCATCTTGGAGGCCGTCTTGGAGGCCATCTTGGAGGCCATCTTGGCCGTCTCAGAGGCCTCTTGGGGCCCTCTTGCGGCCGTCTCGGGTGCCTCTTGGGCATGGGGCAATTTCGGCTTGGGCGATCTTGGGGCGATCTTGGGGGCCTCTTGGGCCGTCTTGAGCCGTCGGAATGCCGAAAAACAAATGCCCAAATCCTTCAAACACCCGGGGAAAATTAATGATTTGGTCTCTTCGGGTCCTCCTGGAGGACCTCTTGGAGGCCTCTTGGGTCGTCTTGGGCCGTCTTGGAGGCTTGTTGGGCGTAGTTGAAGGTATCTTGGGCTTTCTTGGGCCGTCTTGGAAGCCATCTTCGACCATCTTAGGCGAACTTGAGGGCCATTTCGTGCCATCTGAGCCGTCTTGGAGGCTATCTTGGGCCATCTTGGGGCGGGACAGGCATTGACATGTGCAGTTTCCGGTCCTTTCCGGGACCCCGGCGGGCGGGGCCGAAGCGCCAGGTGAGTTGTGGAAAAAGTACCAAAACCAAAAGCGAAAAGGGTTCAGCACGCCGGGCACCCCTGTGATGAGGGGGCGGCGGATCGAAGACGCCTACGGCGAATCATCGCCGCCCCCTGCCTTTTCGGAAACGCCTATGTGGCCGAACGTTGTGGCCAGAGCCCTGCCAAGCTATCGGACCATGTGTTCCCCGAATCGGTTTGGAAAGCGTTCGGGGAACACGGTGGGGGAGGAAGAAGAGGAGAGGGAGGAAGAAGGAGAAGGGAGGAGGAGGCCTCTCGGGAGCCTCTTGGGGTACTCTAAGGTTTTATTGGGCCGTCTTTGCGGTCTTGGAGGCATCTTGGGACTGTCTTGGAGCCTCTTGAGGGCCTCTTGGGGCCTTTTTGGGACTTCTCGGGGGCTTCTTTGGCCGTCTTAGGGCGTTCCTGGCCCGTCTGACACCGTCGGGAGCCGTCTTGGGGGCCTCTCTGAACCGGCTTGGGGCTCTCTTGGGGCGCTTCGGGGCCGCCTTGGAGGCCATCTTGGGCGTCTTGGAGGCCTCTTGGCCCGTCTTGGGGCCCTCTTGGGGCCGTCTTGGGGGCCTCTTGGGCCGTCATGGGGCCATCTTGGAGGCCTCGTGGGCGATTTTGGGGCGATCTTGGGGGCCTCTTGGGCCGTCTTGATCCGTCGGAATGCCGAGAAGAAGCAAATGCCAACATCCTTCAAAAACCCAACGAAAATCAATGATTTTGGCCTCTTCGGACCCTCCTGGAGGACCTTGGAGGCCTCTTGGGTCGTGTTGGGCCATCTTGGAGGCTTCTTGGGCTGTCTTGGGCAATCTTGAGGCCATCTTGGGCTGTCTTGGGTGCATCTTGGGCCGTCTGGGAGGCATCTGTAAGCCAGCGTAGTCGTCTTGGAGGCCATCTGGGCCGTCTTGGAGGCTTCTTGGGGCCCTCTTGGGGGCCTCTTGGGCCGTCATGGGGCCATCTCGGAGGCCTCGTGGGCGATCTTGGGGCGATCTTGGGGGCCTCTTTGGCCGTCTCGAGCCGTCGGAATGCCGAGAAGAAGCAAATGCCAACATCTTTCAAAACCCTCAGGAAAATCAATGATTTTGGCCTCTTCGGGCCCTCCTGGAGGACCCCTTGGAGGCCTCTTGGGTCGTCTTGGAGGCCTCGTGGGAGACTCTTGGGCCGTCTTGGGCCATCTTGAGGCCATCTTAGGCCGTGTTGGATGCATCTTGGGCCGTCTGGGAGGCATCTGTAAGCCATCGTAGCCGTCTTGGAGGCCACCTCGGCCGTCTTGGAGGCCTCTTGGGGCCCTCTTGGGGCTGTCTTGGGGGCCCTTGTGCCATCAAGGGGCCCTCTTGGAGGCCTCTTGGGCGATCTTGGGGCGATCTTGGGGGCCTCTTGGGCCGTCTTGAGCCGTCGGAATGCCGAGAAGAAGCAAATGCCAAAATCGCTCAAAAACCAACAGAAAATCAATGATTTTGGCCTCTTCGGACCCTCCTGGAGGACCTCTTGGAGGCCTCTTGGGTCGTATTGGGCCGTCTTGGAGGCTTCTTGGGCGAACTTGGAGACCTCTTGGACTCTCTTGGGCCGTTATGAGGCCGTCTTGGACCATCTTGGGCGGACTCGGAGGCCATCTTGGGTCAACGTGGCCATCTTGGAGGCCATCTTGAGCTGTCTCGGAGGATTTTTTCCAGATTGAGTTCCTTTCCGGGTGGCTGGCGGGACGCGCCAGAGTTCCAGGGGGCGTTCTTTTGGAAAAGAACCACGCCAAAAACGATAGGATTTGGCACGCCAGGCACCCCTCTTGCAAGCAACAGGGGGCGGCGGATCTAATGGCTTTCGGCCCATCCCGCTACCGTGCTGGGTTGTTGGTATTGAGTCTATTGTACGTTCGCTAGGGTCTCGTGGGAGGCCTATCGGGGCCTCTTGAAGGCAGTTTGGAGGCCTCTTGGGGATCTTTTCGGAACCTCTTGGGGTCTTTGGTCTCTCGGGCACCTCTTTGGGCCTCTTTGGAGCCTCTTGGGGGCCTCTTCGGCGCCTGTTGGGGCCTCATGGAGGCCTTTTGGGGAGAAGGCTGGGCTTTTCGGTTTGTGTTTCCTCTCTTGGGCCCATTTTTGGGCCGTCTTGGGGCCCATTTTTGGGCCGTCTTGGGCGCCTCTGAGGCCGTCTTGGGGCGCTCTTAGGCCGTCTTTAAGCCCTCTTGGAGGCCTCTTGGGCCGTTTTGGGGTGGTCTTGGGGGCCTCGTGTGCCGTCTTGGAGCGTCGGAAAGCCGAAAAGGCGAGAACGTCAAAATCCTTCAAACACCTGATCAAAGCCTCTTGGGCCATCTTGGGACCATCTTGGTTGTCTTGGAACGATCTTTCGGCGACTCGGGGACCTCTTGGACCGTCTTGAGGGAATCGCGGGGCCCTCTTGGCCCGTCTTCGGGCCCTCTTGGGGCTGAACAAGTCATGCGACAAGATGCCGGGAGCCCCAGAGGGCATGCGGGAAACCCCAAGAGATCGGCACGAAAGGAATGGCTACGGAAATAATGGGTACAATGCCCAACAGCACTTCCTGTTCATTTTGACCAGGATTCGCTGTCCGCGCCGCCGCGGCCTGTGCCCATTTGTGACAGAAGGCCGTCTGCCCAACAGCGGCCGCTGTCGGTTTGGGACAACGTTTGTTGTTGGGCATTGTACCCATTTTTTCCGTACCCATTTCGGGCGTCCAAACGAGATTTCGGGATTGGGTTTTTGGGCCCCTGTAAGACTCCTCAGGACTGAGGCTCCAGGGATTAGGCACAGGACTTGAGGACACGCCCACTCCATGCCTAGAGGCACGGTGGCGGATCTAGGGATACAACATTACATTCATATTGAACATGTACATGTATATGCCCCCCAGCGCTCCGTGTTGAAATATCGTCAACACTTTGTGTTGAATGATCGTGAGGGCCTGCTCCATTCCTGTTGGAATCTGATTGGAACCCTGTGTGAATCAAATAAGAATGCCCTGGCTCCGATCGGAATCCTATCTTGAATCCTGGCCAAAACAAATCGAATTCCAATGTGTCGCGGCCTTCTCCGTTCACACTGGATTCCCATTGGAGGCTTATTCAAAGCCAAGGGACGGGGAAGGGGGGAGGCGGGAGGGGATCTGACGGCGGGCTCGAGTTCCTCTTCCTTCTCCGCCTCCTCGCCCTTCCTTCCCTTCCTTCGCCTCCCTACTTGCTGATGTCTCCCCACCTCCCCCCCCCCTCCTCCCTCCTGCCTCCTCCCTCCTACGCTTTTCCATCCATCGCGTACCCTCTTGGGATCATTGCCCTGCTCGACATCCGACTGTGCGAATCGACAGGATATCTACGTCACGGTAAGGGATGGGAGGGAGGGGTAGGACGTCCGACGTGACGCCAACGCACCTAGCTTGCTCGTACCACCTCCATTCTCCGCCCTCCTCCCCCTCTTCCTCCGCCTCCTCCCCCCCCCCCCCCTTGAGCCTGCTTCGCGCGGCGCAGCAGCACACCCTCGCGTGCAGCCTGCCTCCGCCACCCGCGTACGTGCTGCATCACCGCCTGTGCGCACCGCCCTGCACAGCTGGCAGGACAGGATCACATAGCTCGCCGAGGCAGCGACGGGTTCAGACGGTTCAGAGTACGCGCATCTTTCGGCACGCAGCACGCATGAGATCTGACGCAGTGAAGAAGCTGAAACACAGAGTCATGACCGGAGCCCTAGACCCTATCTTTTTGCGCCGCTTCCGAGCTAGATCGATCTGTGGGGAGGGTCACGGGGCCCGAAACTGGGCGAAAACGCCCGGCTCGAAACAATCAAGACGCCAGGATCTCAGGAAGTCTCGTCTAGGAGAACGGGTGCTCCTCCCTCCTCCCTCCCAGCCGCGGGGGCAGGTTCGCGACCTTCGACGAGGCCGCGCAGCACGAGCAGGCGGCCGTTCCGCCGTCCAGCCGCCGTCGACGTCGACGTCGAAGTCGGCGTCAGACTTCATCGCCATCGTCGATGTCGTCGTCCGCATTTTTGTCCTCCTAGCGCTAGGGATGGATGGATGGAGGATGGTGGGAGGCAGTGGAAAACAGGAGGAGGAGGAGGAGGAGGAGGAGGAGGAGGAGGAGGAGGAGGAGGAGGAGGAGGGAGGAGAAGAAAGAGGCTGAGGAGGAATTTGGGGTTCAGCGGGTCCATGGCGTGATCCACACCCAGTGAAACTCCTCATTCCATCCCCTCTCTCTCTCTTGGTGTATTCATTCATGTGTGCATGTATGTATGTATGTATGTATGTATGTATGTATGTATGTATGTATGTATGTATGTATGTATGTATGTATGTATGTATGTATGTATGTATGTATGTATGTATGTATGTATGTATGTATGTATGTATGTATGTATGTATGTATGTATGTATGTATGTATGTATGTATGTATGTATGTATGTATGTATGTATGTATGTATGTATGTATGTATGTTTGTGTGTGTGTGTATGTATGTATGTATGTATGTATGTATGTATATATATATAAAGATATATATATATTGTTATAGCTGTACTAGTACAATGAGTACCTATATGCATAGAAAGCTGATCCGGCTAGACCTTCGTCCCGCTGGGGGCCGCTGGGTCCCGAGCGCGCCTGGAGGGCGCAAGACGGTTCCTGATGGCTTCCAGAGGGCCCCGCGAGGTCTATCATGAAGACGTCGTTTGGCCAAGTTGCCATTTTATACCCAAGTCCATAATGGGTCGGGGTGTGGGGGGCCGCCCATGCCACGAATTGGATGGCAACATCTATTTGCTTCGGGCCCATGCCAAAGACCGCTCTCACATTTTGGTCACAAGCGTGTATAGGCGCACTGGGTGTCGTTACGCAGCGGCCATTGCGTTCGGCGCAGTACACGGTCGTAGAAATGGTAGATCTGTCTACGGCATGCTCTTGTTCTGGAGCAGGTCCCGCAGGGCATTCCAGGCCATGCGTTTTTTGGGGTCCTATGGTTCTACTATGGAAAGCGTGACGTTCCCACACCAAAACTCAATGGACGTCCTGGGGTCTCAGGGTTGGGTTTCTTGTGGAAGGTTTCGTGTGGTCGGGCCCCTCCTGTAGGGGGGGGGGGCAGTGGGGGCGGGGGGCAGGCGGGCGCCGCCCTGGACCAGAAGGCGCGATGGGGGTCACAGCTTGGCGGGCGGCAGAGGGTGACTGCCCGATGGGGGCGAGGGCAAGGCGCGAAAGCACGATCGACGACAATGCAAAGGTCTGAGCTCTGGAACACGTGGTCGTTCCCCACATGTTTCGTGGGGTCCTGGTTTTCTTCCCTGCCGCGGCGCACCCGCGTCTCCTCACACTTCCCCTTCTCCCTCTTCTTCCTCTCCTCACCCGCGCTCAACACGTGCACGGCAAGTACATGACACACGCGTCTACATACAGCCGCACGCATGCACACATTCGCACACAACACACACCATACAACGCTAGTGCGCGCCTGGCGTGTTCACTGCATCACACATCCACGACGTGTGCGCCACATAGTGGGCACCCACATGAGACACGTCCCGATATGGCCGCTATGCACGACGGTCGTCCAGGCATAGCAGGCGTGGCACTTCCTCGACACCAGAGGGGGTGCGCTGGGGGTGGGGGCCCTATCCGTTTCGGGCTCGCAATGCGTGGCAGGCGTGGCACTTCCTCGACACCAGAGGGGGTGCGCTGGGGGTGGGGGCCCTATGCGTTTCGGGCTCGCAAAGCGTGGCAGGCGTGGCACTTCCTCGACACCAGAGGGGGTGCGCTGGGGGTGGGGGCCCTATCCGTTTCGGGCTCGCAATGCGTGGCAGGCGTGGCACTTCCTCGACACCACAGGGGCCCTCAGTACTCTCCTCCTCTTCCTCCTCCCTTCCTCTCTTCCTCCCTTCCTCGTGCTCCTCCGCCCCCGTCCTCCTCCTTCGTCTCCCCCGTCCTTGTTCTCTCTCTCTCTCCCTCCTCCCCTCTCCTCCTGCCCCTTCCCTCGCCCTTTCCTTGCCGCAGGCGTGCCCGATGCGCACCGGGCCCGGCAACGTGTCGAACATCGTGGGCGTGCCCATGGGCGGCGCCGTGCCCATGCCCACGCCGATGGGTCAGGTGGCGGTCCTCGCGGGAGCGCGCGCGCGCGGAGAGCCGGAGGATTTTCGGGTCAGGTGGGGGAGCGATGATGATGGAATGCCGGGGTGGAGCATCGTTCGCGGGAGCAGGAGGCGGGAAGGAGGACGGGAGGGGAGGATCAGGATGAGGCGGATGGACAGGGGGAGTGGGCCCTGTGGAGGGGGATGAGGACCAGAGTATATTAGGGGAACGAACAATGACGTAAACACAAAAACTCGGAGGTCCGCGCGGATTTCTCGGATCGGCGCTGGACCCCCCTCCCTGGCGCGCGGGGCGCGCCAGGGGCGGCGCTGGAGGCGCCGCCAGGGGGATCTAGCGCCGATCCGAGACATCCGCGCGGACCTCCGAATCTTCATGTTTATGTCATTGTTCGTTCCCCTATAAACTTGTTCAAGACGTGCCAGCGGTGCTGCAACCCGCCCGTCCGTGCCGTGCACCCGCCTCACGAGCTCTCCCGGAGTCCAGCGGGGGGGCGCGTTTCCCTCTCTCGACAGGCGAGCGGTCCTGGGACACTGGAGTCCCCAGTTTCCCAGGTTGTGACCATCCGAGGCCATCAGTTGGCCACGGAAGGCCCTTCCGTGTTTTGTCTCTGTTGCGGACACGACGTCCACGACGGTGTGGAGTTTCGTCCACGACGTCTATTCGGACACGATATGAGGCCACGGCCTCTTGCGCCCTGCCCAAAAAGGCACGGGCACATCTGTGTGCCCGACTCTGGCGCCCCCCTCCTCCTCCTCCTCCTCCTCCTCCTCCTCCTCCTCCTCCTCCTCTGTTGCGGGGGTTCGGCGTCCACCCGCCAGTCCCCAGTTTTGTTGGCCCCGTGCAAAGGGCCCGTCACTTGGGAGACTAGCAGAGCGCGGGCGGCGGCCCTGACGCACCTTAAGGCTGGCCGACACCCCCGTACAGGAATCCCCCCACAGGGCGGATTCAGCGGCGACTGGCGCCGTGCCTGATGTCCAGGCTCCCCAGTTGCCGTAGGCGGCTGCGGAGACCCTGCAGGCCCTCGCGTCCTCCTCCTCCTCCGCCTCCTCCTCCTCCTCCTCTTCCTCCTCCTTCTCCTCCTCCTCCTCCCCCCCCTCCTCCTCCTCCTCCTCCTCCTCCTCCTCCTCCTAATGAGGTACGCAGTGTCGTTACAGCTCGAGGAAGTTCCAGCGGGAACTCCGCTTTGAGGAGGATCTGTCATCCATCCGTGTAGGCGGTGCGCATTCTCAGAGTTATGGCTGGATGTTTCGACGTCGTTTCGTGCGACATGTGAAATAGCAATCGCCCCCATTTGTGTGTATTTGTGGTACGTGTTCAAAGTTCGGAGCCTGAGTTCTGAGGAGGTCTCAAACGGAAAACCCATTTTGAACATCGTTTCCCGTCCGTGTGTAACTGTCGGGATTGTTTTTTTGGGCGAGTGTGCGCGACGCCAGAGGGCGAAAACCCCATTTTGACAAAAACGCACGCCCTCCATCCTCCATCCCTGCCGCTGTTGTGAGTGTTCGAGGCGGGTGTGCGAGGGGCTACGGCGAGAGCTCCATGCTGAAGTCCGCGGCCCTCCGTCCGTGTGGCTATTCCCCACCAGGCAGGTTGGGGTCACTAGATGTTAAGAGCAGCCCTCCCTGCCCGCCCGCCCTGCATACCGCGGCCGCCAGATCCCCAGGCTACCGATAATCCCGGGTGGTCCCGCCCCCCCCCGCCCCGCATACCGCGGTCGCCAGATCCCCAGGCTCCCGATCATCCCGGGTGGTTTTGCCCTTGCGCCGATTCGCCCACTGTGCTTACCACGGCCGCCAGATCCCCAGGTTCTCCCATACTCCCCGAGGGTCCCGCCCCCCCGCCGACTCGCCCACTCTGCGTACCGCGGCCGCCAGATCCCCAGGTCCCCCACTGAACGTAGCCTCGCGCCGTACCACCGAACAGAAAATATCCGAGCATAACATACCATATCATGACATACCATATCGTGACACACTTACACACACACTAACAAATTAGTACATACCATAACACAGCATCACGGCACATACCATTCCATACCATGACAATTCATGCAATTCATAACACATCAACGCATAATTGAGCATACCAACCCAGAACATGCCACACCATCACACAGCATGACATACCGCATCATCGTAAAACACATCATGCCACTGCGTGGTATGCCATACTAGAGCATACATAATATACCATACCATATCATAACAATTCATGCCATGCCATATCTTCAAATGAGATACTACGACATAACAAACCACACCATAATACAGTATCGCAGCATATCTCATTCCACGCCATGACAACGCATACCAGTACAGAGTGCGGTGTACTATGCTACATCGTAGTAATACGTATCATCTCATATCACCACAGTAGCACATCTTACAACACAGCGTGCCCAATCATACTCTACACACCATGACACAACACATCATATCATGACATACGACGAGTGTTTCGGTGGTCTTGAAACCGACTCCCCCATCCGTGTAACGCGTTTTTGCCTGTAGCAAACGATTGTGCACGGCGCCATTCGTGTAACTGCAGCTGGCTTAGGACCGCGATGAGTGGAGGAGGACTGATGCTGCCCATGTAAAGTGTACATTCGGAGAGTCGTGTGGGCGCGCTGGCGGGCTCCTTGCACACAACTCTGACCACCACCTCCTCCCCTCCCCTGCTCCCCCCCCGTCTGCTTATCCTCCGCCCTCACTTATCACCTGCCCTCGGCGGCGAGCCCGGGGGGAAGTGAGAAGGGGCGGGCCTTCTCAGAATGCTTGGAAGCCCCCTGGCCACATGAGAAGCTCTCTAAACCTTCCCCGCAGACGCAGCGCACGTCTCATGAGGCGCGAGGGCTCTTGAGAAGCCCCGCCGCCTTCTGAGAAGGCCCTCTCCCTCTCGCTTCCCCCCTCGCTCGCCGCCGATGCCGCCCTCGCCCGCCGCCCCTCGCCGAGGCCCCGTTCGCAGAGCCCCCCCTCCGCGCCTGCCCCCGCCGCCGCCGGCCCGCCCATGGTGGCAGCCTTCCTGGCGCTCCCCGGGGATGGCGCCCTCGGCCGGCCAGCGCAGCTCAGGTCCGGGCCCTGGCTTCGCGGGTGCTCCCTGGCGAGGTCGGGGGACCCGCTGAGCGCGTTCGGCTACTCGCAGAGTGCCTGCTCGCAAACTCCTGAAGAAGCCTTGTCTTCGTTTGCGTCATGGATAGAGCGTTTCTTCCTCTGTGTCATGGCTCGTGGATCCCACGCGGCGGATCCGGGCCATGTGCGAGTAGTTCTTTTGCGAGCAGTGTCATCGCGCCAACGTCGCAGAGCGGATTTCGTTCGGAAGAATATAGGATGGGCCCGGAGTGTCTTGGATATTTCGTTCCGGATTTCGAGGTGGTTTTCGTGCGATTTTTTGGGGCCAGGAATCACTTCGTTTTTCACGCGCCGTTTCGGGCGGAAATCCACGCAGAAATCCGCGCAGGAATCCGCTGCAGCACGTCTGCAAGGCCGGTGCAATGAGCAGTGGAACGCGCTTTTGTCTAGGGACGGAGGATGCAGGATGAGACGAATCCAGGATGAGGACAAATTCGAGTGAGGATAAAGCCCAGACCTCCTGGAGTAGTACAGAACGCGCCAGCCTCGGAACCGTCAAGAACTGACTCCCGATGGAGACCCCGTCCTGGGGGATGGGTCGAAGCCTCTGGGGGTGGACTTCATGAACAAAGGTCATGACGTCGGGGTCTGGGGATCGAGAATCTCTGAGATCTGGCGGCTCCGGAGGATGTGTCGGGCGCAGCGGCCTTCGCCGAGCGTTCCCGCACGCTCTGGGAGCATTCTGGGACGTTCCGGAACGGATTCATCCTGGTCCCAGCCCCGTCCGACAGGAAGGAAGGGGCGGAGGATGGGGACCACTTGCTGTCATCGAGCGCGTTCCACACTCGCAAGCGCCCGAAAAGCACGGATCTGCATCGATGTAGTGGATCGTAGATTTCCCGCGGCAGGTCCAGGCCATTTGCGAGCAGTTGCTCTGCGAGTGGAGGAACGCGCATGTCTGTGCTGGCTTCTTGGTACTTTTCGCGCAGGCCTTCGTTCATGGAGCGGCTCTTGTGTGACTGCCCGGGGCGTGCAGAAGAGGACGGACGAGGGGGGCTGGAAAGAGGGGGGGGAAGCGGAAGCGGAGGAGGGGGGCGGGGGAGGAGAGGCCGAGGGAGGGTGAATGGGGCGAGGGCAAGAGGACGGAATGGGGGCAAAGGTGCCGTGAGCGCGCGCGTGCGCGCGCTCTTCTGCCACATAACATGTATATATATATATATGCTATACATATTCACAGGTCACCTCCAATGGAGATTGGCCCTGGGCCTCAGGGAAGGGCGGCGGTGTACAAATTACCTCTGGGAGCAGGCGACTTGACACACCGCCACCCTCCTTGAAACCCGTAAGGTTCGTCAGAGGGTGTCTGTGTATATGTATATTTTCGTGGCGTATCTCTTTCCTAAAAGTCGGGCGTGCCCCTCCACAGGAGGAATATTCGAGAATAGTCAGGCAATCGTATGGGGATGACTTTTCGTGCTCTTTTGGCTATTATTGAATATTTTTGTTGACAAGTTGAGAGTTCTCTTCCACAATCAGGAGGACACGCCCGACCTAGTTCTCCCCGCGAGTACGGTCTTGGCACCACGCTGGAGCCGCTGCTGCCTCGGCCGAGGGGTCCCCTTTCGCGAGACCTCGCGCGGCCAGGGTCTCTCGCCCCCGACCGTATCCTCGGGCGCCGCGACGAAGGCCAGAGGAGGAGGAGGAGGAGGAGGAGGAGGAGGAGGAGGAGGAGGAGGAGGAGGAGGAGGAGGCGGGGGAGGAGGAGGAGGAGGAGGAGGAGGAGGAGGA